AAACATCCAATTTTATACAAATTGTTCAGTTTTGTATAAATTCATTTATACATTGTAATTTGTATAATTATAAGTGTATAGGACGAAAATATATATATTTGTATTTGTATATACACTTTTCTCTCGCTTTATACAAACACAAACGCATTTTATAGTTATACCGAAATGTATAAAATGGCTAATTGTATATCGAATCAGATAACAAAAAAATGGGATGTTTGCTGCGAATTACAAATAAAATAAACTATAGCTATAACATTTAATTTGAATTAATAGTTTGTTAATTCATATAATTTTCCCTATAATATATAGTGTATTTTCACCAATAGAGAACATGGGCTAAAGTTATTGACAACCCAACAAATAACCCTACATCCATATAAATCATAAAAAGAGCAAGGTGGACATATATATCTATATATAATAAGTTACAATGCAAAGATTTTTATAGTATTTAGTTACATTGTAACTATCTTGTTAGCTTTCAACCAAAAGGAGTACTTCTTTTAAATAATAAATATGTCATTGTATGAGCTATTTATTACTCATTCCTTTTGAATTTGTTAATCTGAATTTGATCTGACACATAATTTACGAAAGTAAATTAGATTTTGAGAAAAAACATTAAGTGATACTTCAAATTGTCCCAGATTTTCAAAAAGACACCTTAACTTTGCATGCGTCGTATTACCCACAAAACATTCAAAATCACAATAAATACACATTTTTTACACAATATTTCCACTTTGGACAAAAATATCCTCCCAATATGCATATTTTTTTAAACAAAAAGTGGGACCCATTATTGATGTATTGAAGGATGCTTTGGTAATTTCCTATGATGAATTCGTTTTGTTTGTTGTTTAATTTTTTTTAAATGATTGTATAAAATATTATAAACCACAATAATTATTTACTTAAATATTCAAAAGATATAAAAATATGTTCTTTTATATTTATTTTACTATAATAAATAATTTTATAAAATATTATGAATCACGATAATTAATTACTTAAATATTTAAAAGATATAAAAATATATAAAAGATCTGATTGACTCTTCAAATTTTACCGGTGACACATAAATTGGGACAAATGAAATAATATATATTATTTGAAAATTTCTTAGAAAGTACTATAAATTACAGTATTAATAGCTAGAAATATTTCAAAAACAAAAAAAATTGATTGAATCTCAAATTTTTTTTAGTACTACATAAATTGAGAAAAAAGAAAATGACCTCTATTATTTGAAAAATGGCGTAAAAAGTATTACAAAATCATACAATAAGAATTACTAACAATTAAAATTTTAAAAGACTTTAATGCTTTATACTTATTATATTTCCACTTTGGACAAAAATATTCTCCCCAATATGCATATTTTGTAAACAAAAAGTGGGACCCATTATTGATGTATTGAAGGATGCTTTGGTAATTTTCCTATGATGAATCCGTTTTGTTTGTTGTTTAATTTTTTTTAAATGATTGTATAAAATATTATAAACCACAATAATTATTTACTTAAATATTCAAAAGATATAAAAATATGTAAAAGATCTGATTAACTTTCAAATTTTTATCGGTGACACATAAATTGGACAAATGAAATAATATATATTATTTGAAAATTACTTAGAAAGTACAATAATTTACAGTAATTAACAATAGAATATTTTAAAGACAAAAAAAATTGATTGAATCTCGAAATTTTATTAGTACCACATAAATTGAGAAAGAAGAAATAACCTTTATTATTTGAAAATTGCGTAAAAGATATTACAAATCATACAACAATAATTAGCAATTTAGAATGTTAAAAACATTAAAAAAAATTACCATAGTTAACAATAATTAAAAATTTAAACTATTTTAAATTAATATTAAAATTTAATTAACTCTTTACTTTTGTCTTTGTCACATAAACTGAAATAAAAAATGATACATATTGGGCCCGTGCTAGTACGGGCTCCGATGTCTAGTATATATAGAGAGAGACAATTCCAACAAAGAACAACACTCCACATTTATTGATAGCTATATATCTTGTTATTAAGTTGGTTTCATTTGTCAATTCAATGATAGCTTATTTAGAGTACGATTCATAAGTCATTCAGAAGCGGAATTATAATTTTGAGAGTTCATAATTTTTTTATTCTTAAAAATAAGTAAAATTATTAGATTCTTGATAAATTATTTTTATTTTTTAAAATATAAATAGTTATTAAATTTTGTTGAATCTATTATTGACATGCTAATTCTGTCCCTGATCGAATTGTCAATTTAAAGTAGTTATATATTTGGGGGGGGGGGGGGTGGGGGGGGGGGGGGGGGGGGGGGGGGCACTTCCCTTTTAATAAATTTTAAGAGGTACATATTCAAATTAATCAAATATTTCAAATTAATTATCAAACATCAGATGAAAATGAAAAAGAAAAATTCCGACAAGTAGGATTTTTTATTAAATGAAGTGAGGAACTCACAGTTTGGTGGATACAAATTTTCATCAACGTGTACAAAGAATAATATAATTCGACATTAGTGATTTTATGAAGTAAGAATATAGATAATTAATCATAGCTAAATGAGAAAAATATATGTATAATATATCATGGTTTAATATAAATATTCTATGTATGTATTTCGTTATTGCAAAATTTTTTTTTTTTTTAGTTGTGGTTATTGCAACACGTATAAAAGCAATGAATTTTTAAATAATTTTTGTTTCATTAGAACATGATATTTACTTAGAGATAGGGAATGACAATGGGAGAAGACAGTTTGAATCTTTTTTTAAAAAAAGTTTGGCGGGTGCGGGTGAGGATGAGGGTGAGGGTGAAATTGCTTTATCGCCTAATTAACTTAAATCTAAATTTACCAGGATAAATTCACTAAAAGAATAAAAAAAATTCTTGGTGGGAAAAAAATATCTGTAAATAAATTTCATAATGATATCAGTGCAATGATTTGGAAATTTTCAAGCACATCATATGATAATTATATTGACATTTTCATGATTTAAAAACACTAAGCTCTATTTTAAAGTTAAAATTTGAAACTTAATAAGTTGAGTTTTGAATATATATTGAGGTTTTGTAAGTGAAAATTCCATATTTTCATTGAGAACTTGCAAATATTTGAAGATCAAATTTCATGTCCAAATAGATATTTGAAGACAAATTTTAAAAAATATTATCAAAATCTATGGTTAAATATGAGCTAAAGTTTATATTTTCTTTCTTCTGAAAACGTATGGGAAGTAGAATCGAATCTTCATCAATTAAATGAAAGTTCATACTCCTGTTGTCCCTTTTTACTTGTCCAATTTTCTTTTTTTTACTTGTCATTTTTTGACAAATCAAGAAAGGACAATTGTTTTTACCTATTATACCCTCAATTTGTTACTCCCTCCGTCCAATAATAGTTGTCCACTATACTAAAAATAGTTGTCCAACATTATTTGTCCATTTTAGAATATCAAGAGATAATTTATCTTTTGTATCTATTTTATCATTGCTATTAAAAAGTAGTAGTATTTATCATCTAACACATTTTTTAAAACATTAAATTTAATAAAGTCAAAGGATAATATAGTGATATTATCCCTATTATTTATTGTTTCTTAAAGAGTATGTCAAGTCAATAGTGGATACCTATTGTTGGACAGAGGGAGTAGCATTAAGATAGTGTCTTTAAAAAATGTAGTGCGTAAAAATACTTGTGATCCTATCAATTAATAGGGATAACATAGTAAATTCACTATAATAATTAATATTTTCTTAATTTATGCGTCAAATTCAAATTTAACAAGTAAATAAAAAACATAAAAAAATATAGTCAACTAAGTGAGCTACTAAAATTTCTGAGCTAAATTTTAGAGGTCCCCCATATGTACAGAATGTTGTCTACTTTTAGGAGCCAAATGTCAATTTGCCACTAAGATAAGTTTTTTTTTTCCCTTTCTTAGCAGCCAATTTGTCATATATTGTTATTACCCACACAATTATGGATACAATGAGCTCAGAATTGAGAGGATAATTGGCTGTAATTGACCAATTGACCCCACCAAAATTCTTTGGGACCCATTTTTTATGACAATTTTTTAAAAAAAAATCACTTTATTTTAAAATCAAATAACAAACGTATGAAATATAAAATGAGAATTATTTACTTAAGATAATTTGATCATGGCATACCTTTAATAATGAGCAATTGTCAATTAACAAATGCATTGTCATACCGTTGAAGGTGTTACAAAGAAATAAAATTAAATCTATGATCACATGAAATAAAAGTTATTTGTAGATACTATTTTTATCTCACACTAAATAAGGTTTATTAGAAGTGAAAATGTTTTTGAATAAATTCAGATTCACATCACATTCAACTCATTTAAGAAGAAATAGTTCTCTGATTAATTCAGATTCTCACATCGCATAAGATTCATTTAAAAGGAAAGATTTTTTTCATATTAGAAGGTTCAAATTCGAAAACTCTAATTAAAGAGTAAGAAAAATTATATTCATCTCATCACAAGACCTATTGTCTATTAAAAGCAATGGTTGGCAAGATTCTTTTTAATTCAGTTGACACTTTCATGTGAAGATACAATTTATTGCATGCAATCCTGAAATATCACAAGTTCAACTAGTTTGAATTTATTTTAATTTATGTGGTATTTTTTTTTAATTCGTTCAAAAAAAGAATTAGACTTTTAATTTTACGGTGAATGAGAATTTTTTATAGTCATATAGATATTAGTATCACATGTTTATAGTTATAAGTGTTTTGAAAAATAAAAATCTTAAACTACATGTTGATTCAAATTTTGACGCATAAATCAAATCAAAATGAATATATATTAGCGAAAATGGTTTCTTTTCAAGAGTTATATAATATGAATCTAGAAAATTCAATGAAAACGGAGCGGAGTGTGGTGTGGAAAGTTAGGGTGGTCAAAATACGAGAGTAGAGATGAGATAATGAGCTTGAAATTAAATACGATTTATGAAACTTGTTTTTCCTCATTTCAGAAGTCATTTTCTATTTGATTAATCAAATATGAAAAAATTAGTTAAACTATCATCATCTATGTATTATAACACAACTCGAAACTGTCTAGACGAATTATTTGAACTATCACCATCTATGTATTACAACATACCTTAAAGTTGTCTAGACCAACTATTTGTTGTTCCTTTAACACACCCCAAGCTGTATAGGCCAACTATTCGTTGATTTTTTCTACTTAAATTATTACCATCTATATAGTTATTTAGACCAACTATTCGTTCTTCTATTTTTCTACCTGAATTATTAGCATCCATGTATTAAAATACACTTTGAAGTTGTCTACTCAACCAACTATCCGTTGTTTTCTTTTTTTTTTCTCGAATAATTATCATCTATGTATCAAAACACACCTCGAAAGTATCTACGACAACTATTCATTATTTTCCTTTTTTTAAACCTAAATTATCGTCATCTATGTGTTAAAACACCTAAAAATTGTCTACACCAACTGTGTTGTTCGTTTTTTCTACTTGAGCTACACTATCTACCAAAAAAAAAGAGAACAACGTTTAGTTGAGACACGTGAAACTCGCAAAAGAGTGATAGTTCAAATGTGTTTTCCGCCATTATCTCATAAGAAAATGACATTTCTACCCCTACAACAGTCGTGTTGCGAGAAAAGCGTGAGAAGAGAGGGAAAAAAAGCCAATCATAAGCAAAAATACAAAAAGAGTCTCAGCTCTTCTTCTTCGTTGGCTGACAGACACACACACACAGAAGAGAAAAACAGAGTGTTTTTTTTTTCAGGCAGCGAACGATTCAACCGCAGTATTTTCCGGCAAGAAAAAAGGTACACACAATAGTTTTACAAACAGCTTAATGGGTTTTCCTTTTCTCTCTCTTTACCTCTAATTTTTTCTCTCTCTCTAGATCTAAATTTACACACACACCCATTTTCCCTTTTCCCCAAAATTCCATTCTCCCCCTTTTTGATTTCAACCTTTTTTTTTTCAATTTTGGGTTTGGGTTTTCCTCCAGATAATCAAACTTTTTGTGGGTTTTTGCCATTTTTGCAGATGGGTCATTGAAAGGGACTGAAAAATTCAAGAAGCATTACATTGTTACGCTTTTGTTTGTTTTATTGATCAGGTCTTCTCAAGAAGATCTGATAAGAAGTGGGTCATCGTTAATTTTTAACCCAAACAAGAAAAGTTATGAGTGCTTCCAGGTTTATCAAGTGTGTTACAGTGGGTGATGGTGCTGTTGGAAAGACTTGTCTTTTGATTTCTTACACCAGCAATACTTTTCCTACGGTTTGTTCATCAACCCCTTTTGCTTTGTGTTGTTAAATTTTCGTTTTGAGGGTGTGTTTGGTAATGAGAGGAAATTTTTTTTGTTTTATTTTCTTTCTCCTGTTTGTTTAGCTTGATTTTGCTGAGAATGTTGAGGAAAAAGATGTCATTTTGTTGATAAATTGTTATACATTATTGTCAATCAAGACTCTATTTGTGTACCTTTTGTAATTAGTGGCGGAAGTAGGATTTTCACAAGGGGGTTATACATCTACCATATATACGTAAAAGCATAAAAGTTGACAATTTTCAGGCCAAGGGATTCGATTTTCCCCCTTAGCTCCTCCCCTGCTTGTAATAGCTGTATGTCTCCTGCTTTTACATCAAACCTGGAAAATGATTTCCAAAGTGCAACCTCTGGCAGTCAAAGCTATAGGAAGATGTGCTTTGGTCTTTCCATCGATAGAAGTAGTAGGTATATAACTCATGCAGCTAGTAGGCGATAGGAGGATGTAAGCCCGGTGGTAGTGGTACTTTGGCTAATCAAACATTTTCCTTAAAGTACCATTTTCTTTCAAGGAAATCATTTTTTCTCTTCCTTTGTTTTTCTTTCTATTCTCTTCTTGAAAGCCGTAAATGTAATACAGTGGTGGCAATAATGTGTAAACACCTCTGTCAATGTGGAGGATTTGAGAGTGGGACAGGGAAGGACCTTGGATAATTGTATTCACCCTCTTGCCTATTTTCCCTACTAATTCATTTTTGCGATATGCTTTATTTGATTCTTTTCAGAACTTGCTCATGAATATATATATATTTATAACAATCACGTAAAAAATGCATTTCTTTTTAGTCCGCTTAAAAGAAGTTACGGGCAAGTCAGTTTTTTTGCTTAGGCATGTCAACAGGTTCCTGTTGTGTGTTTTGATTTGCTTGCTTATTGAAGGTCTCTCTGTACTAATATCTTGTTGTAGGCTTTTGTTGATCTTTTGGACTAATTTCCTTGTTCACGTAATCTCTTTGTATGTTGTTTTGATTCTTCTGAAAAGGTTCTTGGATCACATGATTTTTTTGTATTTCCATCCTCGAAACTTGATTGATGATAGGCTGCCCTTTACCTTTCTCCACTTAAAAGCCAGATGTGTTTGCTTAATATCTGCTGGGAGCTAACGTGACCCACCCTGTTTCAATCTTTTGGATAAATTGCCTGGCTTACAACTTTACGTGATTTGTTGCTTTAATAATATCTTGTTGCGCGCTAAATTGCACTTTTTTCGATATTTTTACACAAGTATTTCTTGGTATACATGTTTGTTTGTTTTATGCTACATTTAGAAGCATATTGAGCTATGTCTTTAACAAATTCACCACGTGTTCCTCTTAAATCTACTTGTGATAATTAGTCTTAAAGGTAAGGAAGAGAAGACATTGAATTTATTCTATATGAACTTGGTGATATTTACATCGGACCGTTTGGTGGTTGCTCTTTTCTGCACTTACATCTTTGTTGGTTTTGAGGAAAAAGTTAATTCACTTCACATGCACTGAATGTTTTTTTTTTTTTTTGGCTCAAATTACAGTGCTTGATTCATAAAAAGTTTGTATATTCCGAGAAGGATTCCTTTCATCTTCCCCAAATTTAACATCAATTGCTACTTCTCAGAATTAGAATTTAACATCACCTGCTTTTCTCTCATTCATGTAATTGTTTGACAGGATTATGTGCCCACTGTGTTCGACAATTTCAGTGCAAATGTGGTTGTCAATGGAGCCACTGTCAACCTAGGGTTGTGGGATACTGCTGGTAATTATTTATTTGCTTGAATCTTCTGATAACTGTTGCATGTTTATGTATTCTAATGCATATATACCTATAATAATGCCAACGATAAGCTGTCCAAATTGTTATGAGTCTTACTTCATTAAATGTATAACAGGACAGGAGGACTACAACAGATTAAGACCTCTGAGTTACCGTGGGGCCGATGTTTTCATTTTGGCATTCTCTCTCATTAGTAAAGCCAGCTATGAGAATGTCTCCAAGAAGGTGAGTGTTTTATTATGTACTTCTCTTCATTTACAATTCTTTCTATTCGTTGTCGGTACATGAAAAAATTACTATTTTGATTTGATTGTTTTCAGTGGATTCCTGAGTTGAAGCACTATGCTCCTGGTGTCCCAATTGTACTTGTTGGAACAAAACTTGGTGAGGCTTTCATTTAAACATGATATAATCTGCGGTTTGTTTCATAGATCTGCAGGAGGTGATGATCAATAGTGTCTGCAATCTTCTTATTTATTATAAATTCTCTTTGATCAAAAGAAGATAGGCCAGTGCAAAATGACATTGCCACTATAAGAGCCTAACTTGATAGTGTTTAGGTTGTTACTGGTAGAAGAGTGTAAAGATTTCTGCTGTTCTCGAAGTAGAAGGAACTTTTTTGCCGGGTAAGAGAATAGATTTAAGGAAACCTCTGAAGAGCTAATAGAACGGGATGGTGGGCCATCTGGGCATTGAAGTTGTGGAATGGTTGGTGGCTGGTAAACGTGTGTTTGTCCCCACCTTTGTTTCTTTTCTTGTTAGTGCCTCTTTGATTATAATTAGAATTACAAGGATGCATTATTATATTTAGAATTAATCTCCTTTGAATGTGAAAACTTGGTTATCAACCTGTGTTGAGTAACTATATCTTTACTCATTATAACATGCGGAATCATGCTATAATACAGTTTCTCTTTACGTTCTGTATCTCATATTTTGCTGCTAACGTCTATCAGTGTGTTTATTCAGCTATTTTATATGCTTAGTGTTGTTGATTTCCAATTATCAAGGCCTAACTAGCCTACTTTACCTCTTGTATTGTACTCAGATCTTCGGGATGACAAGCAATTTTTCGTAGACCATCCTGGTGCTGTGCCGATTACTACTGCTCAGGTAAGGATAACTAGCACTCTTCCTCTTTTGATTGTATCCGATTGAGGATGATTTTTGATAGTTTTGTCCATTTTCATTTGACATCTCTTATCTTAACCATTAAGGGTGAGGAGCTAAGGAAAACAATAGGTGCACCATCTTACGTTGAATGTAGTTCAAAAACACAACAGGTATGTTTCCCCTACAGCATCTGCATTTCTTGCACCGTATATTCTTCTCAGATGCTTTTTATTGAAACATTTGGTTGAATGTGTCCTTGTTGCAGAATGTGAAAGCTGTGTTTGATGCTGCCATTAAGGTCGTCCTCCAGCCTCCCAAGACGAAGAAAAAGAAGGGGAAATCTCAAAAGGCCTGCTCGATATTGTGATCAACTATAGGTCCAACGATAATGGCTCATCATAATTCCCGTTGTAACATCCCCCCCCCCCCTTATATCCCTTTGTCTCGGAGGAAGTAGAAGGTTCTCATCTGTCTTATTCGGAACTACTAACGATCCCTCAAAAAGTGTTTCAGGTGGCTTGGTTTTTCTGTATAATTGTTGTTCACCATGTAGGCCACTCCAGTGTTTCCTTTGTTTTGATTTGATTTATGTATTAACAACTGAATGATCCTCAGTTAGGAAAACAAATTCTTTTTGGAATGTTGGGCTTCTCTGTGTTTTCTTGTTTTGCATCTCATTTTAACCTTTTAGTTACTTTGAAAAGTTCTTGTTTAGCTCAACTTGTATCGAGGGTCTTTCGGAACAGTCTCTCTAACTCCACGAGGTAGTGGACCCTTTGTAGACCTCACATGTGGGATTAAACTGGGTCTGTTGTTGTTTGTTTAGCTCAACTTTTGCTTCAAAATGGTCAAATGTGAGTAGGAGTTCATTTTTTATTTTATTTTTCTCCGTTGTTTCTTTTATTTCGATTATCTTTAATATTTTTAGAATCAATATAATATTTTTATCATAATTTTTACTTTTGCATTTTTTCAAACCATATTCTAAAAAAGTTTGAGGTTTATTAGAAAGAATCTCTCTATCTCATAAAGGTGGAGTAAGGTCTACGTAAATTTCAACCTCACTTGTGGTAGATAGTGGTATTAGGGTTACTTGTTCACATGTGGCTATTTTATTGAATACATGTTACCTCCTACCAACACGAATTACAAATAACTCTATGCATTTAAGTGAAGGTATCTGGAAAAAAAAAAATTGCTTAGTATTTATTTTCGTGATACTTCAGAATTTTCTCAATTCATTTATCACTAAGTTATAACTTCAACCTATATCATTAAACCTAACGTTAATGTAAGTAGGGACGGATCTAAAAGATTAGTTATATATATTATTAATTTAAGGTCGATATAAAAATTCATAAAAAATTCAAATATTTATTCCACAAACAGATGAGCTGGAGTTTGTCTTTTCTAACTTGGCCTGATTATGAAGCAACTCTTTTAGTTTTCATTAAATTGTTCCATCTTTTTTTTTTAAGTAAAAAAGAATATTTTCTTTATGAAGTTAGAAAGTAGATAGACATATTCCCCTTTAATAGAGGTGAATGGTGAGCCACTCCTTAGTTTTTTTTTTTCTCAAAATAAATAATAATTCTACAGTTGTCTATGATTTTTTTGTTCCAAAATTAGTATTATTTAAAAAAAAGAAAAAGGAATGTGATCTTTACAAACATGGCACAAAGTGGCAAACTTGATTGCCACTCATTGGTTACTAATATATTAGATTCTCCCTTGCCTAAGGGTCATTGTATATATTTAATGAAAGTGGGGATTTTATTTTTTTCTTTTTCTTAAAAGATCGTTAAATTTAATTTAGAAAACTTATAAATTTATGTATAACTTACATATATCCCATAGTGTAAGACCTAAATTACATCTTATCCCTACTCTTTTCTATTTTACAAAAATCCCTTAAAATATCAGCCATTCAGATACATAAGTTTCATCCGGATACATTAATTGTTATACATTATAAAACTTATTTGTTGCGCTTAATATGGATATTAACATAAAATTGATTTTCTTTCCCATAAATCACGCAGATCTGATTGATATCAATCCACTCCAATCTGTAACAGCTCCACAAAATTCAAAATTTAGATTTTCATCTTCTCCATCAATTCTAAATCGTAAAAGTTTCACAAGAGGAATTGCCCTTCATTAGGAAGTTGGCAATTGTGACAGCAGGCCAAGCCTTCACTCATCTAATAAAGGTTTATCATGAGAAAAACCTTCAGTTGGTTACGAATGAGATCTATAGATTTGTCCAGCGCCCCGATTATTGTGGTTTCTTCATTTGATTGTTTGGTACACAAATAATGCTCTATAATCCAATATCAAACGTTGCCTTTACCGTTGTTGTGTGGAAATTCTTCTCGGGAAGGATACCTTGCGAGGATAATCAAGAACTCATGGGTACATCATGAGGAGTGGATGGATATAGATATATAAGAAGAAACAGTGATTTTCCATATGGTGTTTGTGTCATTAATTCATTAGCTTCTTATCCGACAAAGGAATTATCTTTTGTATTATCTTCTTATCCATCTCC